TTGCTTCCTTTTTAATAATTTCTGTTTTTTTAGTGATATTTTCTACTTGAAGCTATATTGTTATGACATCTTAATTTTCATATTTAATTATGCCTCTTTTAACATATTTATAATGGCTACTGTGAGCTCTGTTAAATCTGACATATGGTCACTTTCACATATGATTTATTTTGCCTGCTTTTTTTCTGACGTATGTGTCATAATTTACTGTTTGTTTATATTCACGGCTTGTAACTGTTTTATTGTAACTAGATATTTTCAGTAATACAATGTAGCAATTCTAGTTACCAATCCTCCCTCTGGAGTTTGGAATTATTTACTCATTTGTTTGTGACTTGCTGAATTATTTTAGTAAAACCTTTCTCCCCTAGTGGTGTAAAGTCGGTGACCTTTCTTCTCCAGAGGTACAGTGTTGGTTATTTACATAAGAAGGCAGCAAACCCCACTGCCATGTGTGTAACTATGCAACAATCTTACGTGTTCTTCACATGTACACCAAAACCTAAAATACAATTAAAAAAATTAAAAAATAAAAAATAAAAATAAAAACCACCTGGAAATACTGTGGTTTTGCCAGTGCTCTCCCTGGTTGCCTCTGTCCCTGACCATATCCAGCCATTAAGGTTGTTTAATTGCCAGCCGACTGCTCAACTGTAATAAAAAATGCCCTAGGTCATAATTTGTTCCACAGTATGATCCATTCAAATTTGGTCTCTATTAAAGTAATGATTCCCTAGATAAATGTTTCAGATTTGTTATTTTTCCTAAATGTCTCATTTCAGCTGACTCTATCTCCTTTCTCTCTCGCAACTAGCCTATCACTCCAGTGAATCTGCCAGATCTACCAACAGTCTCATTTGCCTTTAGTAGCAACCTTTACATTTTGAGTTTACCTTCAGGCTTGAACTTCACACTCCTTTGTATATAAAGAGAAATTTGTATATGTTACTTTGTATATGAAGGAACTTCCTGCTTTATGGCCTGCTTTTGTATATGTTACTTTGTATATGAAGGAACTTTCTGCTTTATGGCCTGCTTTTCTCTTACTCCCAAGCAAAATGTTTGAGCTATGGCTTTGAAACTCCTTTCTTAGTGATACCCTGCTTAAGGAGTGAAGTGCTTTGTAGAGAGAAGGAGGTAGTGACCTCAGTCTTTTTGTCTGTATCCCTTAGGACTTTTTCCATAGACTGTAATTATTTTAAAAAGTACTTTCACCAGTTTTTCTGCAAACAGTGTTTGTAGAGTTCCTCAGGCTATCATGTTATAAGTCTTAAACAAGAACAACAAAACAAACAAACAAACAAAATTGAATTATGTGTTAAAAAGACTTTCTAGAAGGAAGGTGACTTATGCTAAATTTTGAGGCATAACTATAGAAATTCTAACCATCTGGAAATAGCTTTTCAGTGCAGAGTAAACAGCTTAGGTTTTATTTTGTTTTATTTTTCTAAAGAAATAGATGATAAAATATTAAAAGAAAACATCTAGAAATATCTACAACACAATTATATAAAAACAAATTAATTTTGTATAGTTACATAGTTGTTAAATAAATGTAAAACAAAGAGTTCAATTAGTACACCATGATATTCTTTAAAGTTATAAAAAGTGGGTTTCAAATTCAGTTCTGAGTTTCTCACAGAACTATAAACTAAAGAACCACTAACTAAAGAAGAAAATAATAATTACTTACAAAAGTTCTTTGACCATTATATTAAAATATTATTTTCTTATAGAGGTGCTGGGACACATGAAATGTAATAATTAGAAAAACATTTTTTTCATTCATGATTTTCCAACAGTATGAAGTAATAGTTTCCTAATCGCACATTGCTCCTAAAAAATATTAATTGGTATTTTACACTGGGTCCCAGGAATAAATACCACTTTGTCCCATATATGACATATGAGAAAAGCTACTTTAATGTTGAAAATTACCCCCAATAAGAAACCGATGGAGCTTGTTTATCCTTTATGTTTGAGTTTTACCACCTGCTGATCATCTAACTCTAAGAGATAATTGCAATTTATTGCAACTATGAGGCCAAACTAAAAAGAAAAGAGAAAAAATAAGAATAGACTTTGACAAGGTTTTTAACCAAATTATTGGAAAGGAATTGTATATAAGCATGTTTGCCTGCAGTCTAGATATGAGAGAGAGAGAGAGTGTGTGTGTGTGTGTGTGTGTGTGTGTGTGTGTGTGTGTGTGTATGTGCATGTGTATGCATAAAACATTAAAGAGAAGGAAAACAAAGAATAATATCATACATAGCTGACTTGGCCTAATCAACCATTGTCAGTGAACCTGAATCCATAAGATTAGCAATATTTTTCACTTCAGAAGAAGCAAATAATGTTTAAGGAATATGGCAGCTTTATCTTATACTTTCAGTTTTCTAAGACTGTTCCCCTATTATTCACTGTCTAATCTGTACATGCAGTTTATTAAGTCTGTGTTAATCACTGACTATTTATTAATTGAATATTTAGGGAGATTAAAGTAAAAATTCTGAAAGAAGTTTAATTATTTATATATACAAGAATTGGTTTAGGATGTAGAATGGAAAGAATGAGTGTTATAGAGATAAAGGAATAACCAGTAATTCTTGGAAATGAAACAGATAATTAAAAAAGGAAATTAATCAATTAAAGGTACACTACCGAGGTAAAATAGGACCATGAGCAAAGTTCTGGAAGTTAAATTGCACAGTTTCTTAGGGAGGGTTGCAGATTACGAGTGCAATTCTGAGACTATTAATGATGGTACAATCCTTCAGACATTTTGTACTTCATATTTGGTCCAAAACTTCAAATATTGGCCAACTTTCAGGTAAGTACTTGTAACAAATTTATAAACATTCCTTAGGAGTTAGTAATAATTAGTTACCTTGATACACACACACACACACACACACACAGACACAAACACACACAGGTATTTTATTTTATTTTTTGCTTCATCAGTATTATACTATGAAAATGGCTTATGTCTGGAAGAGCAAAAATCACTTTTGAAGTTGATGCTTAACTGAGTAATCTTGGTAAAAGCATATAATATTTTAAGTGTCAGGTTTTACATCTTACATATGGGGATTCCATTAACAACTTCATAGCCTTTTTTGTGTGCACATTGAATGAAATATGATTATGTGAAATATTTTGCACCATGAATAGTGAACATTCAATATGCATAGTGCTGTTCATGTGGGAAATTGCAAAGGCTAGAATATCACTGAATGTGTGTCCAATACTGTATGAGACACTTTTAATTTTTTTCATATGATATTTATAATAATTCCATAACCAAAGTGTTAAATTCTTGACTTTCAGTTATTTTAGGGAAAAAAATTAGGTTAAATTACTTACTCAGGGTCACACAGGTAGTAGAAGGCAAAGCTGGGGCTCCAAAATGGAAGTTTAGCACACAAAATGCTATGCTCCTTTTTACTCTCCAAGAAATGCTATTTAGCTAATGGTCAGACTGGAAAATGAAAGTAATTATTTAAGGATATAACCATATCTTACTTAAGCTATAAACTTTGTAAAGTTGTGTTTAGTAGATAAATGATAAAATATGAGTTTCTTGTCTTAGAGTCATATGTTAAACTCTATTTAGAAGCTTTCTTCTATCAAAACTAAGAAAGTGCACGTTTCATCTCTGAATAAGGGATAAAGACATTCATTAGATATAAAAAGGGGTATAAGTCCATTAGATATAAAAGGGGTATGTCAGGTGAGACATCACCTTGATTTTTCGGAATTGAAGTCAAGTTCCATTAATTCATCAGGATAGTATTCTGCCATTTGTAGTTAACAGAATTGGAATATTGGAGAGTAGCCATGGTAGACCACTAAATTCAAATCTTGTAGCATAGCCAGCAGGGCAAACCAAGCATAAATCTGTATCATAGCTATAGCTATTTGGTGTATGCATTAGGAGTACTTTTATCTTTAACAAAATAAAATGAGTATTTTAGAGCCCTAAATGTAATCAGTTGTCAAAAGATGGGTTTGATATATCAAATGCAAGTTGTTTGTTCATATTCAAAGCCAAACGTTTTTCCCCTTTTGGCTTGCTTATAAATATTCAATGCCACAGAAACACAAATAAATAATTGGCCATCTCCAATGCATTCTGTATAATTTATAACAGACCAAAAGATTATTACATGGTACAGTCAAAGTCAAAACTATATTCCATATATTACAAGTAAAAAATCGTAACATAGCCCAAGTCAGCATTGTATTAATGGACTAGATCTCTTACTGTGTTTATGTGTGTATATATAATTAAAAAAAATAAGGATTTAGGGATTAAGGATTAAGTATTGAGTTCTCTGCCACTAGAATTGACCTGGAAAGATTAGAAGATTATTATTCATTTACATTGATAAAAATCTTCATGAAAATGAAAATATTAAAATGACTGGGGATCGTCTTATCCAAAAATATTCCAAGGTCAATTTTAATGAAAAATGCAGTTCATAAAATATATGATACTTCATCCTTAATCTTATCTCTTTTATCATTGTTAAGGACCCATTCTCAACAAGTGATTTGGTTCTGGCCTTTTGCTAGGTTTTCAGTGTTCATCTCTATTACATAGTCAGTCAAGTAAGTAATAGCTTAAAGTGGGTTGTTTTCTTCTCAAGAATAAAAATAAATAAATTTTTGTTGTATACAACATTTTCCTTTTAAAGATTGGATTTTATCAATAAATAAAATTTGCTTTGTCAAATAAATCTCTTTTAACTTATTCAGATATGGTCTTTGTCAAGCTAAACTCCAGCAAGTGGTGTTTGAAATAATAATTTATGCTTTTTTTAAAAGCAGTCAAGCACTAGCTATTTTTCTTATTTGGTCAGACTCTATAATCACCGTGTTGAAAACATCCTAATTAAGGGCAGTTGGAAACAGACACACATGCTTTCAAGAGAAAGATGAGTTGCACGTTAAAATGAAATACCCTCAATGCTGATGTTATTTTTTCCTTCCCATAGGGAACCACAGTCAGATATCACGAGTACCTGTTGCTATTAAAGTGCTGGATGTCAATGACAACGCCCCTGAATTCGCATCCGAATATGAGGCATTTTTATGTGAAAATGGAAAGCCCGGCCAAGTAAATATCTCCATGTTGTTAATGCTGAATATGTTTGTATACAACTGTCTCATATTTGATTAACCTGCATTATATTGTGCATTTGCATCATTTATGATCTGCAAAACTCCTAGGCAAGAAACACATCCAAATGGGAATAGAGAGGGATTTTTTTTTCTTCCTCAGATGTTATTTATCTTCCTACTTATTATCAAACTGGTTCCTAAAGTGGAACAACATGCTGAGCCATGAACCCACAGCCAAATCACTGTCTTAAAATATCTCGGGGTATAGATGATAGCAGCGGATGTTTTAGAGTGATGGGGGCTGAATTTTTACTTTCAAATGACAAGAAGCAAGACAAAATCTCATGGAGAGGAGACGTTTGTTTCATGGCAAACATATAAATAACAAATAATAGTTAAACCCAAGAAAACCAGTGGTATATAGAAAGTTGTAGGAAATGAATATTGAAATCTGTAAAAATGTATATATAGTTAGATAAACACAAGGTGAACAACACATTTTAGATGTGTGTATTAGTAGAACACTTTTGTGGCTCATATAGTGTAGTTGGGCAATGAAAACAAAAAAAGAAACATGAAGAAAATCAGAGAGGGGGGAAGAAAAGGAAGAGGGAGAGGAAATGGGAGAGGGAGGGAGGGTAAGAGAAAAAGAGGGATGAATAAAGGGAGGAAGAGTTAAACAAGCAAGATAAACAGAAACAAATATCTGCTATACTCTGAATGTCAAAATGGAAATAGCCTATGTAAAGTTCTGCAAAAACATAAATGTAACAGATTTATTTTAACAAGGTACCGAAGTACTGTATGTTTAAGAATTTTATTCTTTTTCAACTTCCTAATTTATTTCTGGATGGTGACATTTTAATTTAAATAAACAGCAGCTGACAGTATGACACTGGAGTTGTTAATCCAACTATTCTTGTGCCTCATGTGGGTGTTAGGAATTAAATTCACTATTTACTAAGCAGCTTACCTGACAAGAGTCAGAGTTTTTTCCTCTAAAGAAAGGACTTGCCCTTTAGGTCTATGCTTTTATTTATTATAAATGACCAATTTGTTACCCTCTCATGAAACAGTGGGCATTTCCCCATAGACTACTCTTATATATCTGGAGGATTGGCATTATTTCCATCTCCCAGAATAAGACAACACACACACACACATATACACACACACACACGCACACACACCCTAAAATTCTAGTAATAAAACTGATTAACTTTTAATCATCTAGACATGTTCTCATCAAAGCATTCAGCTTTAGTAGTGATATACGTTTATTTTTACAATATTCTAACATTAGCTCCAATGTTTCTTAATTTTATCATGTGGATTTACCCCCTCTCAATCACATCCTTTGAACATCTTCATTTGTGATAATTTGAGAAGGGAGTGTGTATGTGCTTATATATACACATATATCAACAAATATCATTTACCTAAATTGGTAGATTGAGTTGACAGAGAAAGTTTGATCAAAATACGTCAGGTTGTTTCAAGGATATGGATGTTGTGCAGACCAGATCATTGCTGAAATAATGTAGCTAAATCACAGACTACTAAGCTAGACTTTTTCAATCACACATAGTATGAAAAATGCTTTATAATTTAAATGAAACTCCATTGCTCATGCAAAACTCATCACATAAGTTCACGGAGTCAATGGCATTGATATCTCAAAACTCACCATTGGCTTCATTTGTGTTATTGACAAGCATGCCTCTTGGATCTCTAGGAATCTGTAGGTTTACCTGGTGGATTTTGACTGTTTTCAAAGTTTTAATGACTTTTCAGTCTTTCTTCTTAACTTCAGGAAAAAAAAATGCATTGTTTTCTCATCTTTCCTATGCAAAACCAAAATAAAAAAGTTGATTCTTTGTTTTATGATTTTTCCAATCACAATGAATGACTCTTTCTCTGAAGAAATGCTTATGTTGTGGGTATGTGTGCTACACCATCTTATCCTCTAATGATCTGTTTAGGCATATTTATTAAGTTCATTAGTTATATGAAAGGATCAGATCTTTAATGTCTTAGCCACATTCTTGGACACATAGCTGACTGTTGATGATGTACATGCAGTTGTTGAAACAACTTTCTTGAACTCTTTGAATCCTTAGTGCTAGCCAGAATTCAGGTTTTATTTCTTACATCACTTCTAGGTCACTTTTAATGCTCAATAGTCTAATTTTTATATTTAACATTTACCAAAATTTGTATCTGTTATTCACACATGTTTACTTATAGAATTTCAACAAAGATATACTTTCAATCATCTCTCCTAACACCACACAAATGACTGACTCACTATGGACCTAAAATATTCCTTAGCAGATTATCACATGCTCGTGAAAAATAAATGTCAAAAACCAAATTAGCCATTAAATTCAAAGTTTTCTTAATATTTTTAAACAATTCAGTCTGCTTTACAACAGCCTCAGAAAAACTGCAGGTGACATTCAAATGTCTTTTTTGGCCGGAAGGTGTGGGTTTAAGACTACACTCAGGGGATCAGCTTCCTGGGAGATGGTGTAGCTGGAAATTATTAGCAATAATCAAGGATGGATGAGCCCTTTAAAAAAATCTAGGCTGTAGGAATGGTCCGGACTGAGAGGGCCTACATAAAGAGGTTTTTAAATGGCTCACAAAATGAAAACAATTATTAACATGAGCGTAGATAGTTCTATTGTGCTTTATATATATTTTTCCACTGAATTGAACTAATCTAAAGGTAGTCAGAATGAAAAAGAATAAAATAAAGAAGGAGGTCACTTTCTCTTGTCTACACAGTTATGTCCAGTTTATGATACATCTGTACTAAAACAAGTGTAGATTCACTTTGAATGTAGAATTGGAAATAATATCTGCTCCTTCCACCTTCTCATGATTCTAAACTTAAAGGTGACATTCCCTTGAATTTGATTCTCTCAAAAGTGTAACCAGAACCACAACAGGGAGTAATGGTTCACAGACCACTGCACAAAATCCACCTGAATCACATTTGATTAGAATCATTTAAAATAATCCTTGGTTACATAGTTAAATGTTAATATATGTTATCATTGCTAGTTATGTGTGTGTGTGTACATATATATATATTTAAAAATCTGATAGTTTCAGGTGATTTGTTTTAAGTCAAAAGACTTAAGATGATATATATCTTTAGGCTAATTCAGTGGTGACATGATATAGTCATTTGCAGATGATTTGGCTCTCAGTTTAACAGGAAGATTAAACAGGATACTCTCCACTAACCCCTCTCTAATTTCCAAGGCAAAAAATGGGAATGTATATTGAAGATTCCAAATCAGAAAGTCGAATATATGTCTGACAGTTTGTGTATCTGATAGGGTGGTGGGTTTCTTTTAGTCAGTAAATACTCACTGAGCACCAACTATGTTCCAGGACTGGGCTAGGTACTGAAAATGTAGTAGTATGCCACACCCCCCAAATCCGTCTTTTACCTTCATAGAATTTTCTCTCTGGCAAACATTTAATTAAATTTATAAAAGATAGAATTGCAAGAAAACATTTCAAATCTTCTGGACAGGTAGGATGCTGAAGGGAGAAGGGGAGACAGAGCTATCTCAATGAAAAGACCTCTTAATATAGGACAAGTTTCGCCAGACACAGAAAACATCTATCAAGTTCTGAAAAGGAGACAGCAGGGGTAACCAGATTATTTCTGAAGAGAATGGTAATCTGGTTGGACGAGTGGTGGAACAGGTAACAAATGTGGCGAAACCAGTACCTTTCTTCAATATATTTGACAACCCCACACTCAGAACCAAGCAACAACCCCACACTCAGAACCAAGCATGAGGGAAAAATACAGAACTTCCATGACCAATGTTAACCAGAGGACCTTTCGTAACTGTGTTCTAACTTTTATCTCCTTACTAGGTTCTTTCTTGGATTTTATTTCAGATATTAACCTCTTGGTTACCATATACAGAATTAGGGTAACTTTCTCTGGATGATCTATCAGAGCAGGGACTGAATTGAATATTTTCTTCTGAGGCATGAGGCAAGGTGCTTTGTTCAGTCTCAGGTAATATTCATTGTTTTAGAGGTGATGGGAAGCTTCAGTTATTCTTCAGGAAAGAAATTATGTTACCATAAAGAAATCTAGTGGAGTATAATTTGAGCTTCATCATTATCATACAAGTTGAGATTCACTGGTTTGTGTCAAGGAATTATATGTGGGTTAAAAAAATATTTTGGTTTATCTTCTTTTATCTCATCTTTCTGTCTCTGATCAACACGTAGAAATATAAAGTGTGTTTATTATGGGGATATCAAAGATCAAATAAAAAGGTAGTCACCAATACTTCTGGAAAATATGTATTTAGCCAATGTTTGACACATAACAGATATTCACAAAATCTTAGAATCATGGTTCTAAATCATTTCATTCCGCAATGACAGATAATTGAAAAACTAATTTCCTAGATATTATCATAGAAACACTTGTTTCACTCACAAACACACAGTATATATACTAACTTCTTCAGATGAAAAATTTCCTCATTTATTTATTGGACAATATTTTTTACCCATCTACAAGATACTAATTGTTGTCATATAATCTGAAGAAACAATGTGAAAGGGCATAAAAGTATTTTTTCTTAGGAATTTAGTGAAGAAGTGATTTTACGAAATGAGGAGACTGAATAAATATAATAATTTAAAGTTTTGAAAACTGTTTTGAAATAAATATTCAAACAACCAGACAGAGAGGCACAAAGAAAACTCAGGGATCAATTTTATATATTACCGCCAAATAAAGTTACTTTTAAAATGGGTGTTGTTTATGGTGAAACTGGAAAAATAAGAAAGTGCTGGGTATGAAGGCAGTCTGCTAGCCAACAGAATAGGCATGTGCAAAAACCCTGAAGGGGCAGTGACCTCAGTTTGTTAGAAGAGTGAAAGATATCTGTGACTAGCATCTAATAAGCAAAAATGATATTGAACATAAAGAGTTTTATGTTTGAA